TCAGCAGTAAGACAGGCAACCCAAAGCAGACGGGCGAGGCAGCGGAACGGCCACTTCGCAAGGACTGTGAATGGCGGAAACACACGAATGAGAACTCCGTGTCTTTGGTGTTCAAGAAGGGCAAATTAAAACTGCAGAGGTGCCCTTCCCACTTGGAGGGGCAGCCAGAGGAAAGTAAGCCAGGCCACAGGCCACAGGCCACGGGCAGCTGGGACACTCGGTGCTGCCAGCCCCTCGGGAGCACCAGCACTGGCTCCTTATGACCCGGCGAGGCGGCCCCAGGCCAAGGAAGGCCAGCAGCCCGGGAGCTGGAGAGTGAGGAAGGGCCCAGCCTGAGGCTGCTGCCACCTCGCACTCAGCCCAGGGACGGCGGCCTTCGGCCTCCAGACCTGCGAGACACTGCTTCCGCTGTTTGCAAGCCACCAGGTGGGTGGTGATTTGTCACCGTGGAAAGCTGGTGGAGCGCTGAGGCCCAAACCAGTGGCCGAAGGCAGCAAGACCCAAGGAGGACGAGCGGGACTTCCAAAGCGATGGAGAAGCCAGGAGGGCAGTGGCAGCAAGTGTGCAGAACAGCCAGGGCTCACGCAAGGGGTGCTCAGCTCTGTATGCTCTCGGTGGAGGTTTTATTTTAAGAACAAATTGCCCAGGGCCAGAGATAGAGCTTAGGGGCACAGCACCTGCCTGGCAAGCTCGAGGTCCTGAGTTCGATTCCCAGTACCTAAAACGAACAAGTTGCCCAGAAATTCCTGAGACCAGACCCCTCCGACTTGCTGGCGTGAGCGCCCGCAGGGGCCCTCTCTGTTGCACAAACTGACTCGTGTCCAGTTTCCATTTCCAGTAACCATAGGAGTATCCCCTAACGCATCCACGGCAAGGCGCGCTCAGGGGAAGGGGCAGGGCCGTGCAGGGGACAGGCTCCGTGTCACCTGCTCCGGAATGATGACAGCTGGCTGGCTCCCAGGGACAAACTCTTTGGCTTCCTGCTGACTCCACGGATTCAAGAAGCTCCCCAGGAGGCCGCAGGGCTGGGTAGGAAGGCGGAGTTCACAAGCACACACCGCAAGAGTAAAGATGGCCGGTGATGGAGGCGCAGGAGTCTCGTGTGACTCCCGGACGCCCTGCACAGCCTCAGTGAGCGCAGGGCGGGCGCTTCCTCCGGTTCCTTCCCTGAAGCTGTGGAGGTTCCGGGCCAACTGAAGGCCGGAAACCTGCACCCATTGCCAAGGTGGAGCCCTACAGGCCATGTAACATCACAGCTAATTTCAGAAATAGCTTCACCTCTAAAAGCGTGTGAAGGAGGACCAGCTGCGCTTACCCAAGCCGTGGAAGGTCAAAGAGCAGAGGGAGCGAGGGCAAGGGAAGCCATCCCTTATTCTCCCAAACAAAGGGGCATCGATGGGCACAAGGAGAAGCAGCTGAAGCGTCAACCTCCGCTGAAAGGCGCCAGATGAAGCTAAAGCGAAGGGATGAGGAGACAGAGAATCCCCTCCGGAGTCCGGCAGGGCGCCTCCACTGTGCACCCTGCCACCGCTCCTGTGTGTGAACTTCGTGTGAACGACCTCGAATCGGCGAGTCAGCAGCACTGACCGCTCGCAGGGATCGGAGGGCAAAGCCCGAAGCTTCGGTAAACGCAGTCACAGCCCCCTCTCCCGAGGCATCACGTGCTATGGCACACTGCACCAGGCAGCACGAGAGGACTTGGCCGAACATGCACTGAACTCAAGAACACCAAGGGTCGATTCAGAAAGATCTCAGAAGAGCCCCCTACAGCCAGGGGTGGTGGCGCACATCTGTAATGCAGCACTTTGGGAGGCTGAGGCAGGAGGATCTCAAATTAGAGCCCAGGCTGGGCAACTTACCAACTTGGTCATAGCTGTCTCCAAATTAAAAATAAAGAAGGGCAGGGGATGTAGCTCAGGGCGGGAGCCCTAGGTTCAGTCCCCAGTACCGCAAAAAATGAAAACAAAAATGCAAAAACCCTCTACAGAGCTAATTTCCAAGCTTCAGGAAATTTAGATTTTTGGAATTTTCAGAATTTCCGAACAGAAAACTCCACAGTGCAGCTCGGCTGAGCCCCAGGCACCTGGACCAGCTCCTGCGGGAGGCGAGTGCCCGGATTCTTGTTAAACCAGCACATTTTGCTCAGAGAACATCAGTCAATAGGAAACAATGAAGTGGCCAGGTCTCTACCCACAGAGACCCAGAAACGGCTTATTTCACCTGTGACCCCCGCAAGAGCTGTCTCGGCCCTGGCGAGCCCCAGGGAGGCATGGGCACCCAAGATGGAAATGTAGCCCAATGCCAGGTCTGCAGCTTCACCCTGTGTCCTTGCTCTCTTGTGTTCTGGGGAAGATGCCAATTGCAGTCAATCAACAAACCTTGTGGAGCCCAGCCCTGCACACCAACAACCTTCCGCGCAGGGCACCGGGGGACCTGACGCGCTGTCCCCAGATCCTGCAGAGGGAGGGGTACGCAAAGGGCAGCGACACGGCTTCAGGAGCTTGTGCTACCTGAGAAAGGTGAACAGCAGCGCGTGTGCCCTCGGGTTTGTTTTTAGTAACTACGCCATGCTCAGGGCCCCAGGAATTCACCCGCTCGGGACAGGGTGTGGGCTGGAGGCGACATCGGCCGGCGTTCTCCCTGACCGATGTCCCCTGGGCTCTCCGCTCCTGGCCTGAAGCAGGAAGCGAGAAGGACGCTTTGAGATGCCAGCACCAGCAATGAGGACACACACTGCGAGAAGGAGAGGGAAGCAGCGAGGCCAGCGAGGACGAGCACAGCACCCAGCCAGCGCCAGGGGTGCAACCTGGGGACCCGGCTGGGCAGACTCGCTAGCAGGGACCTGCTTCCAGAACAGGTGCTGCCTGCTCCATACACTTCCAACGTCAGAAGATGAGCACCGTCCACCCGGGCTGAGTGGGCATCCGATGAGCTGAAAAATCCCTCGCAAGTTCTGAGCACAATCATGGTGTGCGGCAAGGTGCCCGGCAGACCCAGCACCCTGCACAGGTGCAGTGACACGCGGTCTCTGGTGTGCCCTGGAACAATCCAGGAGGAGCGGCAGAGGCCAGACTGGCCCTGAGCAGCAAGTGTGAGGCTGGGGCTAAGGACACGGCTGGGCCACTGTTTCTCTCCACCTGTGTTTATGTTTCACATTTTGAAGACTAAAAAGGCATTGTTTTTAAATGTACATGCCAAAAAAAAAAAAAAAACTGCATGCCAGCCAGGTATGAGGGCATTCCCCTGTAATCTCAGCACTTGGAAGGCTGAGGCAAGAGGATCACTACGAGTTCGAGGCCAGCCTGGACTACAAAGTGAGTTCAAGGCCAGCCTGGGCTACATAGGGAGGCCCTGTTTCTAAATAAATAAATAAATGCCAAAGTGTGGATAAGATGAAGGTATGCCTGGAACCTGCCTCAGAGCAACTCGAAGAGGCTGTGGGGAGGGACAGAGAGCACATGGCCAGGAAGCAGGAACTCGGGTGCTGCCCGGCCATGTTTCTTTAAAATTTCCAACATAAGAAGCCGCCACAAAGCGAGGAGAAGGAAGGAGGAGATATGCATCCCGGCTGCATAAACATGCCTGAAGAGCTCCCAGCCAACCACAGACGACGTCCCCTGAAGAACAAGGGGACCAGCGCCCCGCCGTGTGACACGCCCCCTCTGGACGCCCATCCAGCCACATCCAACCCGCAGACGGGCTGGGGCCTGGGGCTGTGTTCCCACTGTCGCAGACTGGCTTTCGGGGGAGGAACGAGAACCTGGGCTGGCGCCGCGGTGTCGTTTTCTCCTCCGACATCCAGACCTGCCCAAGCCTGGTGCCCGCCGCTGGGCTCAGCGTCCACCGCTTAACGCATGCTCTGCGCTACACGCAGCAGAGATTTGCGGGGAAAATCACTTCCTGCCTGGGGACGGCTCCTTCCCAGGCCACACTGAAGGAAGCACACGTGAGGACAGGAAATGGAACCCAACACTCCGGTGACAGCCGGGCGCCACATCCAAAAGAACACACGGCTGAGCGTGACACAGTCCGAAGGTTCCGTGGGCCGCGCTCACTAAGGATTCCAACGAAGAGTTAAACACGACAAGCGTCACGCAGGACGTCCAGGTTTGTTTTAGCCCTCAGACTTCACGTGCACGAGTAAATTATAATTAACATGTGGAGGCAACGCTGCCTCACTGTAAGAGTCCAGAGCGACAGGGAGCCCTCCCCAGGCACCCGGCCAAGCTGCCCCCACCCCGGCTGTCCTCACAGCCATCCGTCCTCGGGGACAGCCACAGAGCAGGGCGGGGCATCACTGCACAGGACATCACACCAGCCTTCTTCCAAGACACGCACTAAAACGACACTGACTTTTTCAGAACAGCAAGCTGAGTCATAATGTGAGTTGAGTTTACCAAATCATCTATGATGTCCATTTACTATATTTCTTCTGATAGAATCTATGAATCCCTGCCCCTAATTATATGTAGATACGTATGAAGCTCACTCTAAGAAGCCATTTATTATTCACAGAGTCAAGCTTTACTACATGTAATGTCATATGAAAAATACACTAAAGTGGCCTCGTTTTTCGAAGTACTTATTGATCTGATAATTATGAATGAACGCACTCAAGACACGTAAACTTACCAAGCTGTCAGTATCAGCCATGAACTCGAAGATGGTGTTTTCTATAATCATATGCTATACTTGCTACAACTTTTTTTCTTTTTTCAGCACTGTGGATTGAACCAGAGCCTTGCACTGAGCTAGATCCCCAGCCCTGGCTCTTTTTAAATTTTTTTTGTTGTTTAAGAGAAGGTCTCACTAAAGTCACTAAGCTGTCCAAGCTGAACTCAAATTTGTGATCCTCCTGCCTCAGCCTCCCAGAGTCCTGGGGTTACAGATGTGCACCACCACGCCCAGCCTCGCTGCAGCTTTTATTGGGAAGGAGAGTGTAATGCCGACTCTGTCCCACCCACCCCCAGGAAACCTGGGTACAGGACGCCGATGCTCACGTTGCCATCCACGCCTGAAGGGCTGCGGAACACGTACTCCAGCTGGAAGACGATGGCGAACGCAGGGTGACTGACCATCTCGGGGAGTCGCAGGCGGCTTCTCAAAACCAGAGCCTGGTTTCCAGGGCTGGGTGAGGAACACAAACCACAGCACCTCGGTGTCAGTCCCTGCGCTGTGCCCGCCTCCACCACCGGCCCAGCAAGGCCCCGGGCGATGCTGCCAGGCACTGCCAGGCAAGTCCCCAAGCCCAAGCTTCCTTCCCTCCAGTGTCCCAATCAACTCCTCTTCTAGATGGCCAGGGTCAGCCTGCAAGATGGGAGGACACCCCCGGAAGTGCCACAGAGGGGCAGACGTCCTGCCCAGGGCCTGGGTTCTGCCGTATCACAGGAGAGGAAAGCGTGGCAACCCGGAAGCGCCAGGACATGGTTTGGGAAGCACTGGATTGAATAAGCAGGGCTCCCCGCCTTTGGGACGCTGCAGGCCCAGGCCTGATGCCATGCAGGACCCCTCAGACCCTTAGCAGCCCCAGCCAGAAGCAACCAAAATGCGCACTCACAGCCGTCACAACACACACAACACACGGGCTCGCCCAAGTGTGCAACCCTGAGGTTTGCACAGACGGCGTAAGGGCAGGTGGGGAGCAAGCACACCCGGACGGAGGCAGGCAGCTCTTCCTCCTTGTGGCCCTCGCACATCCCGCCTGCTCCAACAGGGACCCGGGAGAATACCTGGTCCTGGAAGAGCAGCTGACTTTCCTGCTGAAGCTGGCTGAGCGCGTCAAGGCCACGTCCATCTCGGGCACCAGCACCACCACCTGCGGCCTCTGCACGAAGCCCAGGCTGTTGTGCACACCCACGTGCAGGCGCCGCTCCAAGACCTCCAGGGAGCCGCAGTCCAGCGGGCCACCCCCCTGCAAGGGCACAGGACGGACAGAGTAAGCCCAAACCCCTGGAAGCAGGGTCTCCTGAGATGCCCCGGGGAGCGGGCAGGCAAGGGCGGAGCCAAGGCAGGAGTCGCCAGCATCTCCAGATGAGGTGATGCCTAGTGCCTCGAGTCCCAGCGCAGGCGAGATCACCACCCAGGGAAGGCCGGCAGCTGGGGGCACTTCCTGGGGAATCCCGGTGCTTCCCACCCAGCACCCCTTCTCTCAATGCACCCCCGGGTGCCGCCACCGCCAAGCTCACTCTGGGTTTCCTGGCTCAGGTGGCAGGGCTTGGGTCCCCAGGTCTGGGAGCCACCTGCCCCCCACGAGGGGCTGCCAGGGCGGGGAGGCACCCGAGGGGGAGCACGACCGCTTTCAACCTTGTCCACGCAGAGACCCGAGAGGTGGGGAGGGGGGTGGCAGCAGAAGATTCGCACTTAGCAGTGAGTCATAAACCAATAAAACGGAATCTGCCCCAAAGTGATTGCTGGATATTAAAGTGTTTCATCTTAACAAAAAAATGAACAGGCGCTCTAACAAATGAGCAGGGACACCCCTCCAGGATATTAGTGTTTATTAAATTATGTGATCTTTGCAAAACGATCTCAGAGTCCTACAGTGTTCTTCACTGTCCATTACTCAAGCTGAATGGATCGAGACTCAGCCTATTAGTCTCTGGATAATGAAAATAAAACTATGGAGATAACTGAGTATCTGTCAGTAGGACGGTAACAAAAATACAAAGGCTGTTAAAATACATAATAAAGTTGTTTTACGGGAATATGTAAAATTCAACAATGAGGCTCTTCAAACATCTCTGCCCTCACACAATCTGCTCTGAAAAATAAGAACACAGCAGGAAGTGCACCAAGAAAACGGAGGCTGCTGCTTCAACCCGGCTCGCCGCTGTGCTTTTGTTTCACCTAAAACGGTACTACGTGAGAAAACCGCATCGTCAAGGAGAGAGGGGGAGTTCACTGGTTCACGAACACAGAAGTAATAACCTGGTAACCCCACACACCAGCGTGGGGAGCAACTGACAACTAAACATCGCAGCCCAGCCAGTGCAAACACCATGAAGGCACACCACACAGCGCAGTGGATGGAACGGGCCCAGTCCCCAAGGGCCCAACACTCAGGACAGGAGACGGAGGGTCCGCCCTGCACAGAGAGGAAAGCCAAGTGCTCCCAGGGCACACTGAGCCCGAGGCGGTGTCACTGAGGGGCCTGCTGGGGAGGGACACAGGACCTGAAGCCGTGCGGCGCTGCACACAGATCTGCAGTAAGCACGCCTGGAAAAAGCCACCGTTCCAAGGCCGAGGCGGGCCCAAGGCTGAGAGGGACCCAGCGCCAGGGCACGGGGTGAGGCAGCCCGGAGACTGGTTTGGTGAGCGGTCAGGCCCACAGAGGCCCTGTCCTGCGTGTCCCACACACAAAGACCACAAGGACAGGGCTTCAGCCCAAGGGCAATGCACAGCCAGGGCAGGCAGAGGGTTTTGAACAAGGAGAGCCCGTGGGATGTGCGCTTCCAAAAGACCTGGCTGACTACGGAGCGGAGAGAGCCGTTTCCTGGGACTCGGGCGAGAAGCCAGGAGACACACCTCGTCAGAAGACCCGCATTCCCCCACAGGCAGAGAGCAAAGCAGCAAGCCTCAGTGCGGCCACCAGCACAGAAAGGCCGCAGCAGCCTCCACAGCCCAGGGCCAGGACAGGGCATCCAGCCACTGGGCCCCACTGTCTCTGCCTACCCTGGGGGGCCCACCCGCCAAGTGGGTGAGACCCAAGAACTCTAGCCAGAGCCGGGCGGAGGTGACCACCTGTCTGGTCCAGGTTAGCCTCCAGCAGCAGCCAGGCCAGATCCCCAGAGAAAGAGGCCCGGGAGAGAGAGCAGAAATGCACAGAGGGACATTTTCCAGCCTCTGCTGCATTAAAGGGGTGACTGTCCCACTGTCCCAAGCAAAACCAACAGAGACAGAGGATCCATGCCATGGACAAAAGCTATAGCCCTAGCAGGCAACAGCCCGCTGACCTGTGGCTACTGCAGACCCGTGGAGATTCCTGATGCCCTGGTTACAGTGCTTCATCTTAACAAAAAAATGAACAGGCGCTCCAACAAACGAGCAGGGACACCCCTCCAGAATATTAGTGTTTATTAAATTACGGAAGCCATGCGGTGGACTGGACACAGCCAGCAGCCAGCCCATAGGAACACACACAGGTAAATGCCAGCACACACAAGCCAGGCCCTCGCCACAGGCCCTTGCACTCCCCGGCTGCAGTAGAGCAGCTGACACGGCCTTGGGCACGCAGATGAACTTGAGAGGAGGCCTGGCTTTGCCCACAGAGGGCACGGCAGGCAAGTGTACACAGGGGCTTCCACAGGCAGCAGGACAGGAGGCAAAGATGCATCTGGCATCAGGGCCTGGGCGGGATGGGAGGAGATACGGGCGGGGAAGCCCTCCTGTCTCGGCACCATGGCCCCTGGGGCCGCTTTGCGCACCTTCAGCAGCGTGGCCAGCAGAGTGAAGCCACACAGCCCCTCAGCCTTTTAAGGTAAAGCAGCCTCCTTTGTGTTTCAAAACTCAAAAGTGAAGACCTGCTGGGCAGGGTGGTGCACGCCTGTAATCCTAGCACTCGGGAGTCCAGTGCAGGAGGATCACTTCAAGTTCAAGGCCAGCCTGGGCTACATAGTGAGCCCAGGACCAGCCTGAACTGCATAGCGAGACCTTGTCTCAAAAAGAAAAAAAATAGTAAAGGTCCTCTGGTCCCAGGAGGGGAAAGTGGCAGAATACCCACAGTCACATTCTGGTGGCCTGTCTTTCAGAGCAAAAGAGGGGACAGGACTGTCCCTTCTCCCCACAAGAGGTGTGTCCACCAGGCCATGGGCCCAGGAGGGAGGCCAGGCCGGGAGAGCAGGGTGAGGCCGTGCACAGCACGGCTTGTGCTCCTAGGCCAGGCAGCCTCGAGGCCACTCTGACAGCTCCAGGGACGGCAGCACGGACCAGGGAACGTCCTTCGGGGCTCGCTGAGGAGCACAGGGGCACAGAGAGCCATGCGTCCCAGAGGACCCTGAGTGTGACGGGGACAAGAGCTCGGCAGTGCTCTCCTTGCATGGGTGTCCGACAGTGTGCAACCCGGGACAGGACCCAGGAGGAGCCTAAGTGTGTCCCTCACGCGAGGTGAGCCCCATGTGTGGCACGGCCACCCTCACTGTGGGCCAGGTCAACATCTCGCTCTCCCCGGGCATGGGACAAATCCACATTCTTAGAATCACCAGCAAGAGCTCTGGGATGAGGAGACCGAGGACAGTGCTACACCAGAGTGCAGAGCCTAGGGTACCAGATGTGCAGCACCTTTCACAGAAACCACCTCAGGGCGGGGACAGGAGAGGGGCTTCCGTGCACTCCCGAAGTGCGCCGCGCACCCCAAAAATGTACCCCGTTGCTGTATTTTATGGGTTTCTCCATGCCCATGTGGTGACATTATTTATTTATTTATTTATTTATTTATTTTCATTGAACCCAGGGCTATTGCGCTAAGTCTAAGCTGCCCAGGCTGGACTTGAATTTCCAATCCTCCTGCCTCGACTTCCTAGAGTGCTGAGATTACAGCTGAGCACTGCCATACCTGAGTTTTTTTTTTTTTTTTTTTTGAGGCTGTCTTATGATCTATCAGAATCCGCATCTCAGGCGAACATCACCTCCACTGCTGTGTGAGACAACATGGGGCTGCAGGAGGGGGCCCAGCCACGGGAGAAGGGGTCCTCTCAGACCTACTTTATGTGCCACTTCAGGAACAGAAAAAGCCAGAAAGAAAAGAGATAGACAGGACCGGGTCACCCGGGCCACACTGCCCATGCCCAGCAGCACTGAGGCCCAGCACCACCCACCCTGCAAGAAGTCCCACTCAGGGCACGGTACCTCCGGGCAGTGGTCGTCTGCGAGGAGTCCTAGCAGCTCCTCCTCGAACTTCTCCAGGGAGGGGTACAAGGTGAAGAAGATGTCATCTAAGTGCCAGGTTGAGGTCTTCTGAAGGCGCGGCTTCCGGAGGGCATCACCTGCAAGAGCGAGAGGGCTCGCATGAGGTGGTCCTAGGGAGCCAGCGGGGCCCCATAGAGATGGAGGCCCAGGCCGCGGCTCAGAGACACCCCGGAGCCCCCGAGGCCAGGGCCAGGGCCGCAAACTATCCAGAGATGGGAGCTGCACTCGCCACCGAAGTTCAACCCCAACCTCATTCAGGGTGACTCAGCGACCACAGGCAGAACAGCACCTGCATCCTTCGGTGGCTGCCCTCTGTCACCTCCTTCCCCTTAGCAAGGACAGATCCGAAAGGTCACTTCCCACGTCGCTGGGCTCGCCCTGATCCATCTGGGCACACACGGGAACACTCACATGGCACTGCCACACGCAGAAACTTACATGTGGCTGGCACCAAAGAAAACAGCCAGGGACGCTGACCCAGAAGCACTTGCTGAGCTGAGGGTCAGGGAGAGCAGTGGCCCCAGGATCAAGTACGGCGACAAACCGAGGCAGAGAGGGACGACCCAGGGCTGCAGGAGAGGCAGAACCAGCTGCTGCCCAGGAGCACACAGCAGGGAACCTGCCCCAGGGTCCCCACCGCTCTAACCCCCTGCTCCTGTCTTGTGATTACTGACACACGTAGGTACAAAGAGGCTGACTTTTTAAAGTCAGCTCCAAAGTTAGAAAGGAAGACATTGCAGCTGGTACCGAAGGCCAAGCAAACGGCCGCCAGCTGAGCACCCGCAACGGCTGGGCGTGGGCTGGGAGGAAATCTGCCTCTACCTCCCCGAGTATGAGTCTCTACAGATGGACAGACGGACAGACGGTGCAATGTGAATGTGCAAGTGCTCGATGACACGGAGCTGCCCAGGAACAGCGGGGAGGAGGGTCACCTCCCAACAGAGATGGTTACGCCATGAATATTTCACCAGCTTGTGTAGCACAGGAACTATGAGGCCCACTGTCACATGCAACGTCTGGACAAGCTCCTGAAGCGCGTCCCGCACCGGGACCGCCCCGTGCTGCGGTCAGTCATCAGAAGAGGGGCAAGGAAGGCACTGCCCCTGCAGACGTGGTGAACAGGGTAGCCAGGCGGTGCCCACAGCCCACGCAGCAAGGGCAGAGCGCCTGTGGTGGCGCGGCCAGTCCCTGGGACGGTGTCCAGCACTGGAGGCCCTGCAGGCGGGTCGAAGCGTCACTGCCAACTGCAGCCCTGCAAGAGCGTGGGGCAGGGAACCCAGAGGGGCGAGCGGCGAGGGGCAAGGGAGGGAAAGAGGGAAAGCACACCGCCAGCCTTGCTTTCTGCGTGTGCAGACTCCACACTGTTCTCCGAGTCGCTGACAGCGACACTCCGCGAGTTAGTTTACTCTGCTCGTGGCAAAGGGCAGACGCAAGCATCCTCCCCGCTGTCTCAGCGTTTCTGGCGGGAGCTCCCTGACCCACACCGCACTCCCCGGCAGGGTGGCCGCTTCAGGCACAGACAACTGTGGTCTCTCTGAAGAGCCCCCTGCTCTGGACACAGAGCTGTGAGAGATGCATGTCCCCAGCACACACAGGGGACTTTGGGGACACAGGAAGTGTCCCCGGTAGAACGGGGTGGCGGGGCCCCAGGTCCGTGCATGCCTGCCAAGACCTGGCACCTCCTCCTCCCAGGCTCTGCGCCCTGCCCTGTCAGCCTTAGCACCCTGGACCCTCCACAATGCCCCATTCAGGGTTTCCACCACTCTCCACAGGAAACCCTAGACACCTGGGACACCCCAGAGACCCCTTGAAAGACACTGAGCAGCCCCTGTGGCCGCTGCCTGCCGGACATCACAGGAGGAGCCGACCACCATGCCAGCACCTTTCCCTTGGCATCTGCGTCACCAGCAGGCAAGGCTTTGCCAACTCCAGGAGAGACACCAGACAGCTCCTCGGCAGCTGGGGACCATGAGTCCATCTTCCCCCAGTGCTGACCCGACCCCAAGTCCACACCTGCTCCCAAGCTGGCGGGTGGGACTCCTGCCCCCGGGTGCAGGTAGCAGGAAAAAACACTTCACTGTGACCGACACCCAGCCACCCAGCCACCCGGCTGTGCACAGCCTCGGTGGAAACAAGGAGACCCGCAGTTAACGATGCCCATCACATCCAGAGCCACAGCTGGAGGAGAGGCCAGCACAGCGGGGCTGTGGGGAAGACAGAGAAGGCCACCCAGAGGCCACAACCAGCCACTGGCAGCACGGAAAGCAGAAAGTGGGGCACAGGGCAGACGCAGCAGTCAGAAGCCCACAGCCCCCAAAGCCCTGTGACCTGGAGTCCAGCAGGGAGCTGGGTAGAGACACTGCAGCCACGAGGGACAGCAAACAGGCAGAGTCCTGCGGTGTGGGTGCAGGGAGCAAGCAGCCTGGCCACTGACTGCCAGGGCACAGTCACCCAAGCAGGGCCAGTGGCCAGGAAGGCGCCCGCTCACGCTCACTGAGTGCGCACCAAATGCCAGACGCAGGGCTTTACTGATCCATCTCCTTTTCTCCCCACACGCAGGGCTGTTAGCAGCCTCTTTTCTGTCCCCGTTTGCAAAGGAAAAGGAAAAAGCAAAGCCTAGAGAGGTCAGACAATCACAGGAGCTTACCGCTAGCCAGGAGTGAGCAGGGGCTCGCTGCAGGGCTGTCTGCCTCCAGCACCACACACGCAGCATCGCTTCACTGTCTGAAATCTTCATTCAAGCAACCAACAGCAGCGACCAAGAGCCGCGAGCCCTGCCTTGGCAGAACTGAGCTCCAGGGCAGGTGTCTTGGCCCTCACACTCTGGGACGGGCTGGTCTAACTCACCTGCAGCCAAGGCCTCGGCGAGGAACACAATCCCCAGAACCAGGCGTGGCCCTGTGTGAAACGCACCCACTGGACAAGGACCTGTTTCACTCCCGGACTCCCGAGGACACCACAGAGAACACAGATTGTTGGCAAACAGTGAGCAAGAACCTCTTCCCGTCGACACCCTTTGGGAAGCACTGGGCAACGCCCTGAGACGCCCAAGGAGCTACCCTGACCCAGGGAGGGACCCCATCAACCACAGCCTCCCGGGTCGCCGCTTGTCCTCTGAGACATCTCATTCAACGGGACACAGGCGCGAAACAGGAACACCACAGTGGGGGAAAGGGTGACAGTCACCCTATCAATGACCTGGCAGGAAGGGGTAGGAGTTCGAGCCGGTCCGTGATTATTCCAAAACACCTGCTGTAGTTACGTGGTGCACCTGGTGGCTATCGTTAGCTGTGAGGTCCACCCCTACCTAAATGCATCCGGAAAGATCTTCCACCCATCTCCTCAGAGCTCTGTGCCGTATCTTCACAGCCAGCCCGAGCCTGCTGCACACAACGCCTCCTCAGTAAGTATCTCTTGACTAAATCAGAGAATGAGTGAATATGTAGGAAACACGCACCATGGCAGAGCATTTGCTGTCACATGCAAGGCCCCAGGTTCAATGCCCAGCACCACAAAAAATAAATTAATTAATTAAAAAGGTATACACCAAAAAAAAAACCACACCCACCATCAGCAGTGGCCTCTCTGGGCAGTGAAGGTCGAAAGGAAAGCCTTTAGTTTTTAGTGGATTTACTGAATAATGATAAATACCGAAATTCTAAGTCTTTGCATTTCACAAAAGGGGGACATAGAGAGGGAGCCCTGGCACGTCAGCACTGGCGGGGTCCAACCGGGCTCACCCCACACTACTGCAGTCCCCAGACACAGGGAGGGTGGCGGTGTATACACTCTGGGGAGCCCCGAGAGAGGAACCCCAGGCCCATAGAGAGGAGCCCAGGTTTCAGGCAGAGACCTCGGCAGGAGCCCGTGCAGTTCCTGTTGAAATGCAGAGTCCAGGACCTGCCCTGTGGGGACTGGCATCTGGGAGTAGCACTTCTACCCAGCACCTGCAGACTCTTGTGCAGGGAGCCCCAGGACCTGGCTGCAGGGGAGCCCACTGTGTGGCTGGCGAGTGACCCTCAGGCCAGCTCTTCCACGGCCAGGGTTAAGAGACGAGGGCACCAAGTCCTGGAGACAGCCGGCTTCTCTCTGTGGCACAGGCGGCCTCTGGTAGAGGCCAACAGGCAGTGGTCGTGCTGCCCCTACAGCGGGGAGGAAAGGAAGGCGGGCAGGTGGGCAGGGCTTGGGGGCCAGCAGGTGTTTAAAGCCAAGAGGAAGGGCACTCCAGAAGGCCGCAGGCTGAGGACGCAGCATGGCAGCAGCGGCCTTCTGACAGGACAGGGCATGCACAGCAGCCCAGGGCGGGACCCTGCGGGAACAGCAGGGGCAGGGGTGTGCAAAGCGCTCCCCAGAAACAGCTGGTCCTGGCCAGGCACGATGGCACACACTTTTCATCCCAGCCCCTTGGGAGGCTGAGGCAGGAAAACTGTAAACATTCAAGGCCAGGCCAGTTTGAGCAACCTAGCGAGACCCTGCCTCAAAATAAAAAACTTCTAAAAGGCTGAGAATATAATCTAGCACTCCTGGAGTTCAATCCCCAATACAAAAGTAGAGAGACAGGGACAGGGAGGGAGAGAGGAGGGGGAGAGGGAAGGGAGGAAGCGCTTTCTGCCCTCTTCACCCAGCACCCCATCTCCCTGCAGCACTGAGGAAGCAGGAGAAACCGCTGGAAGCAGAGGCAGCCCCGCTGGAGCAGGGACAGCTACTGAGGCCAGGCACAGAGCCGCCGGGTGGGCGTGTCCCCTGGGAGCAGAGCGTAGGGAGCACGGATACCGGGACATGCACGACTGTTTCCAGCCGTGAGTGCCCAGTGGGCACCCTGCAATCAGCTGGCGTGCACCCCCCTGCAGTGTTGGCCCCCCTCAAAGGGCTCTAGATGCTGCCTCACCACCCTCCAGAGAAGCCATGGCTGCTTCAGGGCCTCTTGCACCAAGGCACCTGAGGGCTCTCGGGAAGCACCCCACGGTCCCCACAGCACACAGCCCCTGGGATGGCCACCAGGCCGCCCCACATTCACTGTAAGACTCAGACAGGAAAGCTTTTGCCAAGCCCCTCTTGGCACTGCCACTCCCAAGCCCCGAGGCACAGCCCACCCCACCAGGCTCCTAGAAGCGGGCAGCCCTTCCCAGTGCTCCGGGCAGGCGGCCCTGCTCAGGGACAACTCCAGGTGACCCTCATCTCTCCCCCGAGGCTGAGACCAACTCAGTCCTCCTTTACTGCAGTCGTAAATCAACAGCTGTCTGAGACGGCATCAAAATAAAATTGGACCCCTGCAAATCAGACAATGAGCCCCTGCCAAGTACGTCCCCACCCGGCCTCGGCCGGCACCAGCCAGGACCCCACCTGGGCGGGTGGCAGAGGCCCCAAGTTCCTCCTCAGAGCCCCGGATCTGTGAGCCCCATTTCCAACCCAGCATGCCGAACACATGTGGGAGCCTGTCCCAGCCCCCTCTCAGTGTGTGTGTGTGGTCAGCACTCTGGCCCTGTTTCCAGGACCTCCACTCATTACAGCCAAAATGACAGCAGCATGAGCAGCTCATCTCCGCAGCTTCGCAGGCACCTTCGTGCACGCCCATGGCCGTCCACACACCCACCAGGAGAGCAGGCAGGCAGCCGGGTCTCCACTACTTCTGAAAACGAGCGCTTCGGGACTAGGAGCTGAGACCCCACCCCTCCGCTCCTCCCAGCTTCTCTAACACACAACTCCTCTCCCCAGGGGCCTATCTGAGTGCGGAGCTTCTCTCCCAGGATTCCGCAGATGTCAGAGCAGGGCCACAGGGGCCTCCCACGGTGAAACGGAGCAGTCCGGGGGGATCACAGGAGTTCCACTGACACCTGCTGGCAAGTCACAAAGGGATGGACACAGATACACCTCAGCAGCAAGACGCCAGGTCAAGAGGACCAGCAGGGCCCACCTGAACATCAGCAGGCCACAACTCTACACGGGGGGCTGCAGGGGGGTGTTTAAAGCTAGGGATCCACAGCACACCAAACTGGAAGTCTCCCAGCTTGCTCCTGCTCACAGTCAACCTCTCGTGTCGCATCTCTTCTCAGAGACGCTGGAAAGAGGGAGTTCACGATGGAAACACAGATCATAGACCACCCAAGAAGTTCACTAACTCATCCAAGTTGAACCCAGCGATGTTAAGGTGGATGGTCAACTTGATTGGTTTGGGGGACAACCAGGAGACGAGTGAAGCACACTTCTGGCTGAGTCCAGGTGGGTCACGGAGGTGTGACCATGGGGTCTTTACCTGGTCCCTGGCCCCTTCCTCTGTGGCACTGTTCCCTGGCTCTGCTTCCTGGCCACAACGAGTTAAGCATCCTTGTTCCTCCTCACCTTCCGCCATGACGTTCCCACCTTGTTACCAGCCAAGCATGGACTAAACCCCTGAAATTATGAGCCAAGTTAAGCCTCTCCTCCTTTAAGCTATGGGTGTCAGGCATTGCGTCTCAGCAACAGCAAAGCTGACTAATACAGAAATTGAAACAAGGAGTGGAGTCACTGCTGCGCTTCTGCCTGACCATGTGGCTCAGAAGTCTTTGGAACTGGTTTGCAGGAGGAGTTCAGGAAGGTTTGGAGACGCCGGCTAGAGATGCCCTAGGATGCTATAAGCAGAGATCGATGGGTGATTCTGGTAAGAGCTCGGAAGACCAGAACTTTGACAGCAATGCGGAAAATAAAGGCCATGGTCATGAAGTTTCAGCTGGAAATAAGGATTCTTTTGAAAGCTGAACTACAGACCATGCATGCTACACTCAGACAAAAACTCTGTCCACATTTTGTCCATGTCCTGAGACTCTGAGGGAGGCTGACATTAGGGGCTATAGCCAAATAGAGCTGGCAAAGAAAATCTCACGGCAGCCCAACATTCAGGCTGTGGCATGGGTATGCTGGTTGCTTTTAACCAGATTTATAGTAAGAATCAGGGGTAAAAAGCAGAACAGAAAATTCTATAGAACTTAAACTTTGGCCCAAATGGAATCACGTGTAAAGTGGAGATCAAAAGAGATGTGATTGCTGAAGAGATTAGTGCCCCTAAAAAGGAATCAAGTACTTTGTATAGGGACAGGAAGAAGGATGCCTCAAGGTTATTTTGAAAATCAGCCAAATCCCACCCATTGCAGCCCCAAGGGTGCAAAAGCTTAAACTTTTCATTTGAGAACAGAGTTCCCAGGCCCCTTGCCCAAGAAGGGCCTCCTAGGAAACAGGTTTCCCCAGGATCGTTTATTTCACCATGTTCAGCCATCAGGTACTCAGAGGCCCCTTCAGCCATGTAGGGGGCCAGGCTACTGCTCCAGCTAGCAGCAGACCTTGGTGTCATCCACATGATGCTGGTTTTACCTGCATGCAGAATGCAAGCATTGTGGCATCAGGGAGGCTTCCGCTTATATTTCAGAGGCAGGCCTTGGAGGCCAGGCAAGGAGCCCCTGAGAGGGATGTGCATGAAGAAGGAACGGGCACACAGGAAAGCCCAGAGGTCACAGCTGCCAGGAATGTGGGATCTCTGCTGAGGAAACCTGCACGCTGTGAGAGAAGCCAGCCCAAAGAGGGCAACAACCGCCACGGCCCCAGGGGAGAGGCCACCCAAGCCCTCCAGACTCACATCTCACCACCACATTCCCCAGATACTGAGTGCAGAGCCACAGGACTCAACGTTTGCCCTGCTGGGTTGCAGTATTGCTTTGCTTCAATTCTTCCGTCCTCCCCCTTCCTCCCTCTTGCAATGGAAAGGTGTACCCTGTGCCATTGCACCTGGGGATTATGTAACTGTTTTTATTTTTATAGGGATTTAGAGGTAAGAGTTTACCTTGAGTCTCAGGAGTGTTTGATATTTTTGCAATGCTGGTACTGTTGAGACTTTGGGGATTATTGTGCTTCATCATATGCAGAATCATTGTATCATGTTAGGCAGAACTGTTAACTTATACTGTGTCTATCTGGAGATTAAGTATGGTTTAAAGAGATGTGTTTGGGTGTTAAGTTGACAAGGGATGGGATGTGATAGTCAAGGTGGATGGTCAACTTGACGGGCGAGGGAGCAGCCCAGGAGATTAGTAAAGCTCAGTTCTGGGTATGTCTGGATGGGTCACAGAAGTGGGGCCTCGGGTACTGTGCATGGTCCCTATCCCCGTCCCTGTGGCACTGCTCCCCTGCTCTGCTGCCCAGCTACCATGAACGAAGCACCTCTGCTCACCATGCCCTCTCTCATGACGCTCTCGTCTTGGAGCCAGCCACCATGGACTGAGGCCCCTGGACCCATGAGCCAAGCTAACCCTCTCCCCTGTAAGTTGTGGGCATCAGCAGTCCCAGTGACGGGAAAGCTGGGTGTACAGACCCATACCCCAGCAAGGGCCAAATGCTGTGCCACACATGGGGTCAGCATCACAAACACACCGTGGAGCTGAGCTGCTTTCTCTTCTCCGGGATTGTGAATGTTTCTCCATGAGCCAAGCCCTCACATGTCTATGCTCCCCATGTCACCAGCCACACTCTGTCCCAGAGCAGCTCTTCAAGAGTTTGGCCCCTAAGACAGCAGGTTCCAACAGGTGCCGGGAACCCCCAGCGATTCTGCAGCAAGAAGGCAGTGTGATCCCTTCTCCTGGATTGCCCAGGAGAACCTCACAAATAGCCCCTGGAGGCGCCCGGAGGAGCACAAGGCCCAGTGTGCTAACCAGCTTTCCACTGCTATGACAAATACCCGGGATAAGCAGCTTGCAAGGAAGAAAGATCTACTGCAGCTCATGGCTTCAGGGTTTTGTGCACAGTCACTGGATCCGCCGCTCTGGGCCTGTGGCGGCACAGTACGTCCTCGCAGGATACACGGAGGAGGCCTGCTCACTTTGTAGGGACAGGAAGCCGAAAGGGAGGGAGGAAGGGGCCAAGGTCCCGATGTCCCCATTGAGGGCACAGCCCCAATGACTTCACTTCCACCGGGCCCAGCCTCCTAAAAGTTCCACCAGCTCCCCACCGGACCATAGGCTGGGGACATGGGGCTATGGGGGACACTCCAGATCCAAATACAGCACCAAGTCCTGAGGACTGTACAGCAGAAGCCCAGAGCACAGCACACACCCACAGTGGCCCCCTTCGTCGTACGAGGGTGACCCAATTCCACCCCTCGCTTCTGAAAGTCAATCCACAACAGAGCCCTTAGTCTTTCACACGAACTGCAGTTTCCAAAAATAATCAATTCTCTGCACATCATCGTTCACAGCAGTGTTGTTCATAGGGCAGGGAGCAAAAGACCCACCAACCCCAGCAGATGAGGAGCATGTGGTCTATCCATGTGACAGAACACTCAACCCCCAAAACAAAGGGACTTGAGACACAGCTGTGACAACGAGCACGGAAGACAGGACACCGAATGACAGACTGCACGGTTCCACCTATACGAGGGACCTGCAGCGGTCACACCACTGAGACAGACAGTAGAACAAGGATTCTGGGGCTGAGGGTGTGGTTAGGGAGTTAGGGTTTGGTGGGTACAGAGTTTCAGCTTGGGAAGAGGACAATGTCATGGAGACAGACGGTGACGATGGCTGTGCCATGTAATGCTTAATTTAAAAGCGGTAACGATGGAGCCACTAATACCACAGCACGGGAAGAGTGAGACTCACACACACCAGCTTGCTGGCCACGGTCACAGTGACGAGAACTGCGTTTCATGCAAGTATTCCCCAGGGAAACACAGCGAAGGTATCCCATTCCTCGGGAAAGGACTGAGAACGGAGACCACGAGCACCCCTCCCTCCCAAACCGAGCTCCGAGCAGCAGCGGGAGTGGCCACACTGGCCACCTTGGCCTATCCTGGGAGCGGCGCGGTCCCAAGTCCTTCGAGGTCTGACCCTGAGCTCGCGTGAGCCACAGTGTGTGGAGAACAGAAGGGGCCCTTACCCACGTCGCCGTGCGCTGGAAGGAGGCCAGGGATGGGCTGCAGACCGGACACCAGCAGGTTCTCGGGCAGCAGGTGGAAGGCGGGCTCCAGGGCGGGGTGTGGCCGCAGCGTGTAGTGCAGGCTGCAGTTCTCAATGAGGGTCATGTGCTTGTTTTCTGGAAGAAGAGCACCATCGCGATGGCTGAGGCCACAGGCACAGCCGAGAACCAGAAATTCAGGAAACACCAAGAGAAAACACATTTCTCTAAGTAGAGTGGGGCAATGCTCTGTCATTCAACTGAAAAGTGAAAGGAACTGATCCTCAAGAATCTCTCTGAGAAAGTGCATTAACAACCGTTCAGCTAGTTCCTTGTTTCTGTGTACTTGCTCATTTTTCAAGCTAGGTCTTGCTGTGTTGCCCACACTGGCCCCAAACCCCCAACTAAAGCAATCCTACCTCAGCCTCAGAAGTGGGCTGGGATTGCTGGCATGCACCACCATATCTGACTCCACGAGAACAATTTCTAAGCCAGCACATCAAGTCTCCCCACCAAAGGCCAGGCTTGGGACTGCACTGTTTCCCTGGTGTGAGGGGCCTTGTGCGCAGAGGGAGGCTGGGAGACATCCTGGCCCCACACGGCCTTCCTCTGCATCTCAGCCCTGCAACCATCAAGCCACACCAAGGACAGAAGGCCTGGGGGTGGCTGGTGGCACCAGAGAGGAGGCCCCATCCTCTAGGACAGCCACTGTCCTGGACCGGCAGTGAGAGTCTTTAAACACACAGGAGGCGGGACCCAGCCACGCAAAGGTCTGGATAGCCAGCGGGGGACAGGGAGCAGGCAGAGCAGTCCCACAGCCCCGGCATGCAGCATGCATGAGGCAGCCTAACCCTAACCCTCTGAACGCCCCTGCCAAATCTTGCCTGGGCTTGACCTCCTCCACTGATGAGGGCCTCACACCTCCCAGGGAACAAGGCTCAGCCCCTCGGCCGGCCTCCACTCCAGCCACACACCCAAGGTTCACAGGCACCCTGAGTGAGCGTCCACATGGGGACAGTCAATCAAGGAAGTCAACTCAAGGGAACAGCTCACAGCTGCAAGGAGAGTGAGGCACTCTCTAGGCCCTGTAGGATGGGTGTGCCGGGAAAGTGAGGCCTGGGCCAGGAGTGAAAAGTGGGCGAGAGAGAACACAATGGGAACCCACTTCCGTAGGGCAGGAAGAGCCTGGAGGGGTCCATGCAGCTCCCAGAGAGGCTTTGCATGTGGCGGGCGAGGGTGGGTAGAAGGGACCCCACCCTGGACCTCCCCTATTTGTCTACACCCCGACAGCTGTGAACTCCGGGAAGCCAGTCGTTCCCCAAAGATTCCCACTGCCCAATGGAGCGGTGCAGCGCTGGCTGCAGGGGTGCTCCTCAGCCCCAGCACACACACACAGTGAACAGTGCCCTGACCCGGGGCAGGTAGAAGTCAGGCGGACTTGTGCCATGTTTAACAAGCCCCGATTCTACGTATTCTTTTGGAGAGAAAATCCTGGCAAACCAAAATTATATTCAGCTGAAGAATAACCCAAACATCAATCTTTGTAAATAAAATTAAGTTTCTGGTTGTTTCCCTATCTCAAATTTCTGACCAAATTCGGAGGCGAGGGGAGGGGAAAGGAGGGGAGGGGAGGAGAAGGGCTATTTGACAGCTGACCCAGGCCGTGGGGCAGGCACAACTACCACATCCCCAAGGACAGAGTCACCCCCCCGGGCAGATCCACACCTCCTCCCCAGGGCAAGCTCAGCCTCTGCTTTGGGCCTCTGCCGCGTCCCACCAGGCCCCCCCCCCATGAGCCTCTCTGTCCCATCCTCCGGGCGGGCAGCAGCAGGGGGAGCCACATATCCTCCAGCTGCCCCCACCCTGTGTCCCTGGCTGCCTGCGAGGCACCAGGCACAGAAGCGTGGCAAGAAGCCCCCTCTCTCCGGGGCAGAGCTCCCCCTGGCAGGGACAGCATGGTGCCCACAGAATGTGCCCCCACAGGAAGACACAGCTGAGAAGGCCTGGCACGTTGGCAACAACCAACAACTTCAGTCAGAGGCTCCACTGGACAGTGACTGCCTCGTCTGGTGGGCAAAGCTGCCATCCAAAAGGCCCGGAGGCCACCTCCCATCCCCAGTGGCTCCCTGGGGCCATGCCCTTCCTCACAAATCAGCGCTCTCCTCTGGGGATGGCGCACTTCAGTTCTGCAAATTACGCGGAACTCCACGCCCATGACACATCTGTCCGATACTATCCCATAGCCGAGCAGGGCTGACGGGACATGGGATGCTGCCGAGGCTGGGCTGGTCGCTTACGTTCTATGGGGTCCTGGAGAAGCGGGTGCAGGAGGGCTCTGGGGGTGCCGTGATACAGCTTCAACCTGAAAGACAGGGCCAGAGGACTGTGTCAACGATCCGCACCCTGCACGACCACTAAGGCTGGCTACGTGTCTCCCCCGAACCTCTGAGAACCTTCGGACACTGCCAGTCACAGCCTCTGCAGCAGAAGGAAGCCTGAGGATGGTGCCAGCTGCCCCTGCCTGGGCCTTACCCGTGCCGAGCACACCTGGCATGCCCGCAGCCCAGGAAGGGAGAAGCCAGACAGCACGACCAAGGGAACTCACCCCACTCGGAAGTGTCCCCACAGGACATCCTAGGAACCGAACCCCGAGGCTGTGCAGCGGGAGCAAGCGTCTCACTGGGGTGGTTTTGCCCCAGGGCACAACTGGCAAGGCCAGGAGGGGTCTGGCTGTCACACGGGGCCAGGTGCAGGACAGTCCCCAGGCAGAGTCCCCCAGCCCTACACGTGAACGACGAGAATGAGAAACCCCGACACGGAGGAATAACGTGAACCTTCACAGGCTGAAAGGCTCACACTCCCTGCCACCTGTCTTTGCCCATCCAGCTCCAACGCACAGCCTGGCAGGTGGCAGGTCCTCACCCACATCTGCTGCAGGGAGCCCGCTGCCCTCAGGGGCCTGTGTGTGAAGCCACACGACACTATGCTTACACAGCCCCACGAGGTGTACATTGCTGCCTGGAGCGCAGAGGTGAGCGTGTGCAGAGTCCAGGGTCAGAGCTGAATCACCCCCCTAACACCCTGCAGGACTATGACAGCGTGGGAGTGTGTCCACGTGCCCCCTGCATCCAACACAATGCTGACGCAAAGCCCCTCCTCACTCCAGCCTAAAGGACGAGCCCTCTGCTTACTTAAAAGCGGCAAAAAAAAAAAAACAACCCTACCGTCTGTCCTGGGATGGAGAGGTCGGAGAGTCTGGCCTGCTGCTGAAGATCCGAAGAACTCCAAACCCACAGGACAAGGCCTGGAGGGTCCCACCCCGCGCCTTGCCTTCGGCGACCACTTCGACCACGGCCACGATGTTCGGGTGGTTTAAGGACGTATGAAAGTAGAGGGGCTACAAAACAGAAAGCAGAGCACAGCTCAGGGGGAGCCGGGCGGCCCCGATGCCACAGCCTCTCAGTGCCACCCTGCAGTTTGCCACCGCAAGCACCCAGGCGCCACCCTGAGCCCTGAGTGGAGCGGGGAGAGAAGGCCCGGGGTGACGGCGGAGCCTCTTGCTCCAAGGCCCCACAACACGCAGGACACAGGATGATCCGTCTCTACTCCAGAACTCGCATCTCTGGAATCGCCCCCTCCACACTCCCGGCAGACCTGAGCTCTCAAGACAAGGAAGGCCTGACAGGCTGTGCACCTAGCCCAGGGTCGGGGACGCCAGGCAGGACCACAGTTACATCCGCCCAGGCCACCCAGGGCCTGCAAACCCCACAGCCAGGGCCCACCCTCAGCCCCAGGCCTCAGCCACCACTGGCTCACAGTTTGCCAACAGCCACCAGCCCTGCTTCATGGGCAGGTTTAACCAGGTTCCACCCGAACTGACTGTGCTTCAACTAAGGCTCCTTAGACTTCTTTAGGTGCTAAATAGTAAGAACACTCAGGGTCTTTCATGATGGCAACCACCTTGACCTCTTTTTATTAATAAAATGAGGGGAGGCTAGACGTAAGTAGATGACACTCAAACTGGTCTTCAGCATCTCTGTTCTACGTTGGGGACTTCTTTGTGGTACTGAGAACTGAACCCAGCGCCTTACGCATGCTATACAGGTACCATACCACTAATCTACATCCTCTATCGCTAAGCTACAGTCTCACTAAGTTGCCTGGGCTGGCCTCGAACTTGCAATCCTCCTGCCTCAGCCTCTGGAGTAGCGAGGATGACGGGCATGCACCACCACACCCAGCTTCGAACCCATCTTCGGATTTTCCATTTGCACTCTTTCCATTCCCAATGTGCGAACAGAGGCTCTCTGGTTCCTGCTGCACAGGACGGCTGAGACGAGCCCTTCTCCAAGTTTAACAGGCACGCTCCCTTCACTGCACTTTTGCTTTTCTGCTTCCTAAATGCAGTTGTTTTAGTCCAAACTCATCAAGGCGCAGGCACGGGAGACGGAAGAGGAGCTGCCAGCTGGGTTTGCCGACCCACACGGCATCAGCACCCACAGGGCTCAGGAGCGGCGCTGAGCTGGTCCCCAGGCCGAGCTGGGGGTGAGGTTGGCGCAGGGCCGCCTGCGGGGCAGGGCCAGGGCCAGGCTGCTGCGCTGTGATTTAAACTTGCACAAACCCTCGCGTGAACAGGTCGTTACCATGGTGTCTCGGAGAGAATGCTTAGTGTAATCACAGACTGTCAGCCCGGGATAACGGAGAGACACATTAAAACATCAGCCACAGGATATAAATCGTTACTCTATTATCTTTTATTGCAAAATGATGAAATAATGACCACTTCCAGCTGACAGGTGGTCGGGCTGAGAGGAGTTATGTGTCTGCTTCCCAGGTTGGGAAGTGCGTAAAAGCCCTCTGTGTGGCGAGCCCGTCACCCCCCCACCTTCATATTTATACCTGTGTGGATCGCCTTTATGAACACTGCCCGCTTTCTCTTCTGGCCATAAAACACTTTCAACTTGGATGTGAAGCAACAATCATCTCGCAGCTTAGAGGTCACCTTGAAATAGCTCCCCGGGAAGGCAAGGGGAGCAGCCCCTCGGCACGCCCCAAGTGCGGATTTATGGCTGCTTCCTTTCCCTTCCATTTGCCACCAAGAACAATTATCTTGAGACCAGAAAACCCACCCACAGTGCCCCTGAGCTGCTCACCTCAGCAGTGCTGACTTGGAATCAGAGTGCATTTCATCCTAAGAGCCAGCCTGCGCCGGACGCGAGCCACAGCGAAGGGCGATTCAAATTCAGAGCCCCGTCAGCGCTGCTCTCCACTGAGGAGGTCACAGCGCGCCTCCAAAACCCTTCCCCTGACCCTCCAGCATGGGAGCACCAGCATGCTAAAGAATTCATAAGGGCTCTGGAAAATACAATCCAGCCTTGCACAAGTTCAAGGCTCGAAGACTTTACAAAGGATGGATTAGGTGGTTGCTACAGTGCAAAGGCTGCTCGGGAACACGCAGCTCCGAGATACTGAGAAGGGAAAAGCTCCGGGGATGGAAACACTGACATCTCATCTCCAGGCATGCAAACGGGCTCCACGAAACGCAGACAGCTCTCAGGGAGCAACAGCTGTAAACAGACGCTTCCGACCAGGGAAATTTAATTAACGCCAACGCCATACGTTTGGGGAGGGAAATTCTACGCATCGACTGAAACTGCAGGATTAAAAGTTTAAGTGGAGCCCATCAAATTACCTGCAGAACGCCACTTGAGACAGAAGAGATGGCCCGGCTGACCCTACATCTCCTCGGCTGTACCTGACAAGCTTCCTCCCCGACAGGATCGACAGACTAATACATCAGGTAAATGTGCCCGTCTCCACGCCTCCATCCCATCAGCCTCCCCCGGCCTCCCCCGCTTTCTGCTTCTCGGGAAGTAACAGGACTGACACTGGGCTCTGCCTCAGGGTCTTCAGGAGGAGGCCGCACCCCGCTCATCCCCAGTGTATGCCACATGACCCGTTACCTGCCAACAGGTGCCCACCAGGCCAGGAGGAGCCGAGCAGAAATTACACTAGCACCCCCAAGATGGAGACCACGGTGAACCGCAGCCTGGAGGAACAACGTGAACTTCCACTGGCTGGAAGGTTCGCAGCCCGTGTCGCCCATCCCTGCCCACAGCTGCTAAGCACCGCCTGGCACGTGGCAGGTGCTCACCCACCTCTGCTGCATGGACCCCGCTGCCACCTGGGCCTGTGTGTGAAGCCACATGACCTCACGCTCATGCTGCCACATGAGATGCACACTGCCCGCCAGCGTGCACAGGTAAGGGAGTCCAGGATCAGAGCTCAGTAACCACCTAGAGTCCCACAGGGAACCGTGACAGCATGAGACTCTGGCCACATGCACCCCTCATCCCACTCAACGCTCATGCAAAGCCGGTCCGCACTCCAGCCGGAAGGACAGCTCCTGTGCTTACTCAGAGAAGTAGGCGGGCAAACCCAGGCATGGCCCAAAGCCAGAAGCACCCCTCAGTTCACTCTTATGAACACACTACCCCAGCTTTCTATGCCCCAAACGACTGGTGGTTCATTCGGCACTCAGCCAGGCTGACGCTGCCAACGCCGCCCCGACGACGTTCTCTGGGGCTCGCTTTGGGGCCAGGGCCCAGGCGAGGGACACAGCTGCAGACGTGGGACGTGCTGGAAAGGAGTCGGGGTCCTGCCTTTGTGTTAGGATACGCCCTCCATCAGCAGCGCAGGGCACGAGGGTTAATGAACTGCAACTCCCAAACTGGCAGAAGAACCAAGCAGCTCGGAAGGGCTCCCAGAGGTCCACTTGGGTCACGTGGTGTCCCAGACAGCTCACACTTTACAGGGCCAATCCCACAGCTCCTGTTACTCTGCAGGGTGAGAGCAGGGCCACACTCATTTTCTCCTCGCCAGGGCTACGGGAAGGGACGCGACCCAGCGACCTGTGTCCCTCGTTGGCCAGGGCAGGGATTACCCGTCACCTGAGCAACATCTGGGCTGCTGTGCGCTGGGGAAAGATCCGTGCCGGATCTGGGGCGTCTGGGGCAGCCCCAGAGTCCTGGTCCAGGAACACTCTTCAGATCAAGAGCGGGGAAAGCACACCGTCCGGGAGACCGGGCCATCATCAGCGGGACCCAAATCGGAGGGAGAATTACGTCCACTGAAAAGCGAGGGTGTGGAAACTGCACAGGGCTGCAGCCTCTGGGATTATTTTTCGAAAGACACTTTTTTAGAGACTGAATGAATTATTAACCCCGCAGAGGAAGGAAAAGGCAACTCCTCTCCATGGCAAGGTCTCGGAGGAGAACACAGAATTCTGGGCTTCAGGCTACAGGGCTGCACGGTCCTCACCTAGGGGCCACCAGGCACGGCCCTTGGGGGACCTGGGAACTCATGGTCCACAGAAAAACACCCAACCCGGCCTCCAGACAAGACTTCCCTGTTCTACGTTTTATTCAGGGCAGTGCTGTCTGCACAGTCACAAGATGGCATCTTCCTACAGGGCCAAGTCCACAGCTACAGCACAATAAAAACAGGGCAGGGCTGTCACCCGCAGGGGCCAGGCAGCTCTGGTGGCCCTGCTGCCATCAGCTCACTGACCTCAAGTCGGACCACCAAGCTGCTGCTACGGGGAAGGCCAGGAAACACACTTGCAAATCCAGAGCCACCTCTCAAAGACAAACAGGATTCACTTCGCCTTCCTGCGGCTCGGCACAGGGGGTGGGGCGGGCACAACCACCTCACACCTGCTGCCGAGAGCCCACCACGCCCTGCGTTTCCACCATCTGTGCATGTTCACATGTACACACACATGTGCACCTGCGTGCACACAGCCAAGGGGGATTCTCCACGCTTGAGGAAACTGGAGGAAGGGCTGTTCTGCATGCTGAGCGTGGAGGAGCCAGGAGGAAACGCCCAGCACAGGAGCTGCTGCCGAACAGCCGTCAGGATGGACCTGTGCCTGGGCCGCCAGTGGCCTCTGCTGCTCGCTGTGGGCATAGCAGCTGGGGTTAGGCCGCTCCTCAGCGAGGCGGGCGGAGGCAGCCCCTCGGCCCTGCACTCCCCATGCTAACCCCACTGCACACCACTGCAGCAACGGCTCCAGGCTGCAGAATTCCCCAGAGACATCACGTTTCCCTTGTCCCCCAAATCTGCCCACCAAGAGGGGTGCGCCCAGCCAAAGTGGAGTGGCTGCAGCCCAGGCTGCACAGGCACCGCAGACTCAGGATGAGTGGTTGGACAAAAGGCCTAAGGCACCCTCCACCAAGGGGCACTGAAACCTGACATGCTGCGCCACTTCTGGGGACACAGGGGCCCTCATGGCATGGATGTGACCCCAGACAAGGACAGAGCAGTGTGGCCTCAGCAGCCTGCCTCGTCTTCTCCACTCGGGAACCCCGGGCATCAGGAGACGGAGGCACCACTTCTGACCCTGCCGGGGTCGTGGCCACCCCTAGGTAGCACAGTGCAGATACTGCAGGGTCAGGGACAGTCTGACCCGCTCTCTAAATAGAAGGGTGCACACAAGGAGATGAGGAGGGAGGAGGAGCCAACAGCGAGGCTCCAGGACCATGCATCCTGTGGTGATTGACAGCTGGCAGTCAACCTGTACCACCCAGCTGAACTGAGTAAGCGTGGTACTGGGTGTGGGAGGCCCACCTGAGGACCGCTGCCAGCAGCATAAGAAGCAGACCTGGAGAAGAAAAGGACAGGCTATTGAGAGCTGGTAGAAGCTGTAAGGAGCTGTTGGTTCTCTTGGAGGACCTTGTCATGCTGACTTTCCCGATGAACTCCACTGTTCTCATTGTCCAGGGAACTTGGGACCTTGTTGTCATTGAGGATGGCTTCGGTTCACTTTGGGGGAGCTCTGATCCTCACCTTGAGCATCACTTCCTGACTCCAACGGGGAAGATGGTGCACTGCTCAGTCTCCTGGAGAAGCTTGTCAGGCTGGCTTTCCTGATGGGACCTTGGCTTTCCTCAGCGTGGGACGAGCTCGAGACCTCACTGTTGCTGAGGATGGCTGTGGTACTTTTCAGGGGAGCTCTGGTCTTTACTCTCAATGTGGCTTCCTGGCTCCAGTGCAGATTCCTCAGCCTGCTAGCACAGATCCTTCATCCCGCTGGTACAGACTTTCTAGCTTCCACCGCTGACCCTGGGCCTTCCCAGCGCAGATCCATGAAACAGGTCTGCATGAGATGTTGTCATGGGCTATAGGCCTCCAGCTGGACTCGTGGAAGGCACTGTTATGGGCTCTAGGTCTGCAGCTGGACTCATGCAGGACATCGGAGTGGGATCCAGGCCCTTGGCTGCATTCTCTGGTCTTTAGTGTGTGGACAGATTTCCTGCACTCTCTTCATATATGAGTCTTTGGGTGACTACTACAAATAGTCTTATAAAATGTGTCCTGTATTTTATTATTCCCCTTGCAAAACCCCTAACTATGACACATCCTGTCCTGACATGCCACGGGCACCCCTAATCACAAGACAGGGCCACTCCTAAGCCTGGGGGCCACGAAGCACAGCCGACAGGGCCGGACAAGAGGACCCTGCGTGCAGCACGACTGTGCGGGCAGCCACCCGAAGGTCCACCTGCCCCTTCCACCATGGCCCTGCGACCAGCAGGACAGACTCTATTCCCATGAACCTGTTTTCTCCTCTTTAAAATGGGGACATGAAAAGACCCCCACAGGAGGAGGAGAAGGATGACATTGTGTGCGTATATGCTAACTCCTGGCCCATCCAAGTCCCTCCCCATCACAGGACGGCTTCTGTCACCTCCGCCATGTTACTCATTATGCAAACTCTGGCCCCCAGGCTCACTCTGCTCTCCAAAAAAGAAAATCAAACAGCCAGGCCCAAGAAGGCGGCCGCATAGGGCCACAGAGGCTGCACATAGCCGGACAGCAGCATCACCACCCAGGGACACAGGACACAGCTCCTATGGGTGCAGGAGGCGCAGGAACAGCCCTCTCGGGTCACAGGCACCATGCTTGGCAGCATGCTAGCCCGGGAGACCAGCAGGGGACAGCTATGCAAGGCCTGACAACCTTTCAGTTCCCCAACATCACCTGCCCAGGCTCGGTGTACTCTTCTGACCTCTGGGAGCAGGAGAAGTTGGCTGTGGTCACCACCACCACCCGTGACACCAGAATTCCCTGGACTCACTCTGTACCCCAGAAAAAAAAACTGAAAGAGCCCGGTCCCTGGATCCCCGAGGCCGTCCCCTGCAGGGGTCAAATCCTTGTGCTCTCCCCACTCAAATTCAGGAGCAAACCAGAAGCTGAGCATGGCGGCACACGTCTCTCATCCCACCACTCAGGAGCTGAGGTAGGAGGATCGCTGTGGTTCAAGGCCAATGTGGACCACATAGTGAGTTCAAGCCTAGCATGAACTACAAAGTGAGACCCTGGCTGAAAAAAAAAAAACAAAACAAGTGCAAACCAGCAGCCAGTACAGAAAAGGCCTTTGTGATGTGCTCGACCCTCAGAATGACACCCTGACAGCCCTGCAGGACCCAGCCAAGGAGGCACTGCCCAGCCACCTGCCCACCCCGCCCGCTGCCCCTCCCCTCTGAAGCCCCTGCCCTGCCAGGAGCGCCCACCTCCCTGCTTGTCCCCAGACCAATCCTTTCCGGCCCTGCAGGCCCCAGCCACGTAGACGCTGCCCTCCTGGGCCTGGGAGGAGGTCTCCTGTCCTGCCGTCAGCGCCTGGGGCTCAGCACAGCTGCAGCTGCCGTGTGACAGACGTAAGTGCCAAGAGAGGCGCGCCCGTGCCCTGGCACCACCGCAGGGAGCCCACAGAGGGGCACTGGCCGCAAGCCTGGGCACTATGGGCAGCCGTGAGAGGTGGAGCAACCGTGTGCGGGGTGGCAACTGCAGAGCTGCCCTGGGGATGTGGGGTTCAACAGTGTCCACACCACTGCCCGGCCTGGAGACGGGGGCAGGTCAGAGCCCACACTGGGCCTCTTCCCACCCAGGCGGGACCCTTAACTCTCTCAACCCCACCGGCAGCAAAGGAGGGAAAGGAGGGGCCGAGGAGGAGGAAGTTGTGGCAGGAAACGAGATAACACTTCCCTAAGCTTGGTCCTAACACAGCCAGGCTCCTGATGGCGAGGAACCCTGGGCCCCCCAACAGACACTGTCACTGTCAACTGTCACTTGCTCGGGACAGCTGGCTTCCATGTAAGACAGTCATTGGAAATAAAGTGCCTGCCCCTAAGCCGGGCTCTGTGACACTGGACCTGCTGCCCACAATGTTCCTGCAGGCCTCAGACACACTGGCCCTCTGGGCCAAGGACCCGCACACCTGTGCCCACCCCAGGCTCCTGGCCCCGGCTCCCGGCCCACCTCGCCGAAGACGATCCTGGGCGGCTGCCGAGAGAGCTGCTTGGTCGGCTTCACCGTGGTTTTCCACGTCCTCCCGAAGAAGTGCCGGTAGGTGACATCGAAGAGAGACACTCGCAGATGGCACTCGACCTCTGACAGCACCTCCAGCGCGCCCTAGGAGACAGCAGGGAGGGGGCCTGAAGCGTGCCCTGTCATAAGCCACCCTGGGGCCACTAGGGGCCACCCTGTAACTGAGATGTGGGCATGGTCCCACAGACGCAGCCATCGGCAGCTCAATCTCCGTTGGTCTTGGTGAGGCTAAAGTCACGGTGCTCAGCCCTGCCTTGGCCAATCACAGCACTGATTGCTCTCTGGACATCGGTGACACGGGTTTAAGATGCATCCAGAGCCAATGAGACGCAAGGGGTCAGGACTGTGGAGACGGGTGTGCCTGCCCGGAAGAGGGCCTGCAGCTGCTGGCAGCCACTGTGACACCAGGCAGAGGCATGAGGTGAGAAAGCAAGCCAGGTAAGATCACAAGAGGCCCCGGATCAAAACACACCCGAAGCTCCCCAAAACTGTGGATCTCTCTGACTTAACCACATGTAGCATAAGCCACTTTAGTTTTGTTATTTTTTTAAGCATTTGCATCTGAATGAGCTTTCCTGATATAACCAGAAGCTCTTAATTCCTCAACTTGCTGGTATTATTTGGGGGTAGCATTAGCAAAGGAAAAGGTGATGTTGGGGGAGCTGAGAAGTCACAGCTACAAATACAGGACAGAGCAGCTACGAACACGGGGCTTTTATTTACAGCGAGTTTCCAGCTCGGCCTCCAGGCCTTTTGTCACTGGTTACGACCAGCAATGGCACGGGTCTCACCTGCAGCAGCATCTCCACTCCTCTTCTGCTCTTATTTAACAAACATTCACTGAGTGCCCACTCCGTGTGCCCACTGTGTGCCAGGCACGGGGATGCAAGAGGGAGTGAGGAAGCAGTGTCTCTGTCCTTGCAGGGTTCACGGGAGGAACAACAGGCAGAGGGCAGAGGCTGGGTCAGGGCAGGTACTGTCGCAGTGACAAAATCTGAGCCGGGACCCAGGGGAGCACAAGGGCCAGGGAACTTGGCAGGAGCCAGGTGGACAGCAGTGGAATCCAAGGCCATGGGGTGGGAGGGCACCTGGGTGCCCAGGACCAGCAACAAGCACACATCTCCGCTGTGTGAACCATTTCCTTGTTCTGTACTGTCAATGCTCTGGCAAGTGTGACTTGCCTATAAGAACATTGTGTGCATGCGTGTGTGTGTGTGTGTGTGTGTGTGTGTGTGTGTGTGTGTGTGTGTTACTGAGGCCTGAACCGAGGGCCTTTGGACTGAGCTCTCCCTCCCACTTTGGGGCAAGGGTCTTACTAAGTTGCCCAGGCTGGGCTTGAATTTTCAACCCTCCTGCCTCAGCCTCCCAGAATACTGGGGTTATAGGCATGCACCAACTGCCCAGCTTTTTACACATTGCCTGCCTGTAGCCCCAGTAAGCGTGTGAGCTGTGACTTGGGCTTAAAATGCTGGCCTCTGCTCCCTCCCTAGGGCCTGGGCCAGGCCTCCCAGGCCAGGCCCTCAGTTCCTGCACCTTCCCCTGCTTGGGGATCTGTCTCCTCCCCTCTCCCTCCTCCTCACTCCTTACCTCCTCACCACCCTCTTGGAAGGTCACCCCAGGGAGGTCAGCCCCAGGAAGTACCCCGTGTGGGTGCTCGGACTCTGCCCCACAGTGCCAGGCCCTCCACTGCCATGGCTCTGGACCCACGCCTATGCAGCTGAGTTCCCAGACCCCATGATATGGAATCAAAACAGCCATCCCGAGGAAAGAATAATCCGTATCCATGGAAAAAGCCACAAAAACTAGGTGGAGTGGGAGGAGAAACACGTCAACATATTCAATGAAGCACCCGAGCTCAAAAGGCGCAGAAGACATCCCAGCCCAACACCTCTCCCAGAGAAGTCCGTCAGCATCAAAACCCTCCGCTCTCAGAGCAACTAACACTGCATGAACCCGTATGATCTAAGTCAGGCCTTCTTTCCTGACATGTTTCCAACTGCATTGTCTTAGGTGCTGCCCTTTGACTGTTTTAATAGAATCTACTTTGCATTTCTCCGTAAACTCCAGTAACCCGCTGTCCTTTATAGGTACGCTGATGTGAAGCCCAACATTTTAAGGATTTCTGTGTTCCCACTGTTGAGAGAGAGACAGCCACCTGTATCTCTCTCTAGTACCCTTGACTGGCTCGCGCAAGACAGAGAAATGAGTTAGGAGGCATTCCTTCCTGTCCCCAGGAGTCTGTGTAGGTAATTATTTCTGCCTTTGTTTGATGAAATTCAACACTACATTTTTAATGTCTGTCAGATACGTAATGTTTCTTTAGCCATTCATAGTCCTGGAAATCTGCCTCTTTAGTGATCATTCCCAAGAACCAACTTCTAATTCCTTTGCTAACATGCTTTATCAGTGATTTCTGCTCAGATATTTATCATTTCCTGTTTTAGGTTTGTTTTTATCTAGGTTCTTGAGGAATCACTGATTTTTTTTTTTTTTTTTTTTTTTTTTGGCTTTTCTCCGGTACCGGGAACCAAACTCACGACCTTGCACTTGCCAGGCAGGCGCTTTTGCCGCTGAGCTAAATCCCC